CGTCCTTACTGCGTTTCTGGACCTGGGAACATTTCTGTTTCGGCCTTTGTTTTGGCCATGGAAGCATGGTAGCGGGCTTTGTCTTGAACGCACTTCATTCCACGAAAAGTTTATCCATTCTTCTTATTTATTTAGGTAAATAATTGACCATCAAAAAACATATTAAAATTAAGATACAAATTATACCAAACGAAACTCGTTCGAAAAAAGGGATTCTACAAACAAAAACGTACGAAGTGGTCAAAAAATTATGTCTGACCCACTTCCCCTCTTCCGGCGTCCTCCCGTCCAATTTACCACGCCCTTATGACGTTTACAATTTTCTTAATTAGCAAATTGAACTAAACAAAACACAAACAAATAATATTTAAACATAAATAATATAAAATAAAAATACTTTCTTAAATGGCTACAACAATTCCTATCAAAAGGAAAGTGATGCGTTTTTGGCAGCAGGTATCGCTAAACTGTGCCGTTAGACAGCTTTCCTGTGATAATTAGCCTGGTGGATGTAATCAGAATGGGAAAGTGGTTTAGTTTGGCCACTTTGTAAATATTAAGCCGCAAAACGACTATTTAAATATTAATTCTGCTTGTCTCTGTGTTAATGAATGGCGCAGACACGCGGTTTTGTTTACTACTCGTACTGAAGCACGAGTGACACTTCCGTGATTTTAGCACCTGCCGTCTCACTAATGAGGACATAAATACATGAACAACATCTCCAGAACTGATCTGAGAGTCGCTTCATGAGCATTCATTTGAGTAAAACTATCCTCATATCATATACACAGAAATGTAAAGGTATTCACGGCAACCCGTCAAAATAAAAGTTCGGTTCAACTTGAAGGCATTGCGGCAGAAATATATTACTATCGTTCAGTAGAATGTACGTAATAGGCTGCTACTACTACTACTACTCAAATTATTAAAACCTTATTTGTAAAAACATTACAGTTAAAGACATGCTAAAATACACTTTCTTAAATGGCTACAACAATACACACTGTCATTCAAAAGTTTGGGATCAGTAAAGTTTTTAATGTTTTGAAATAAGTTTCTTGTGCTCATCAAGGCTGTATCTATTTGATCAAAAAATACAGAGAAAAAGCTGTAATTTTGTAAAATATAATTGCTATTTAAAATAACAGTTTAAGTAATTTATTTCTGTGAAGCAAAGCTGAATTTTCAGCATCATTACTTCAGTCTTCAGTGTCACACGATCCTTCAGAAATCATTCTAATATGCTGATTTACAATCAACGTTGGAAACAGTTGTGCTGCTTAATATTTTTTGGGACCTGCAATACTTTTTTTTTTTTTTTTCTTGAGGATTTATTCAAAATAGGAAATCTTGTGTTACAATATACACTACTATTCAAAAGTTTGGGGCAATAACTTGTCTTTCTTTCTTTCTTTAAAGAAATCAATACTTTTATTGAGCAAGGATGTGTTGGATACAAAGTAGGGCTGGACAATAATTCAATATCAATATGTATCGCGATATAATTTTTTTCAATAACGGTGATATGATTTT